CGATGATCTGATTTTTTTTTTAATCCTGCCAGACAGGACAGCTCTGAATGCTCTGTTGTGCCAAACACATCTATAATAATAATAATAATCTGATTTTAATTCAGATCTCTGAGCTACAAACAGGGAAAAAAAATATAAACATTAATGGTTTTATGTGTTTAAACTGTTGTATTATACTTATTGATGTTTTATTTAAGAACATATGTAAGTTAAAGTGTCCTGTAAAAAGCAGATGCTTGAGTCCTTAGAGCATATGTTACAAAGCACACTTTTTCAACAAGATTTTTTTAATGTTTTCTTTTATGGTTCTATTAAAAAAATAAGTAAATAAATAAAAACAAACAAACAAACAAACAAACAAACAAATTATAGCCAATTAGGAACAAAAACATGCAGTGGTACTTTGCTCATATTCTTGCTGTACTATTGTGAAAAAAAGAATATTATGTCAGTTTTTAAACAATGAAAAAGCCTTTGGCAGTGCTTGTAATGAAACACTGTTTCATTAGAATGTAGCTGAATCAAATCTTTAATGGGGGAGACTCTAAAACAGGAGGAGTTGTTTACCAACTAATGAGGCAAGTGAACAATTAAAATTTTATGATACCCTATGTATAAATACTGATTATTGGCCCATTATGTTACTCTAGAAATTCCAGTTAAAGTAACATCCAATTTAAACTTTCAGCAGTGTTCCAGTTTAAATCTTGCATGGGGCACAATATCTTATGTAAGGTTTAGCAGACAGAATTTAATTTTACATGCCTGCCTAGCTTTGAACAATGGCATGCGTCACTGATCTTTATTACAGATTTTTTCCGAACTGTTGGAGAGCATCTATCTAATTTAGTCATAGTGTATCTAACTTCAAAATATTAATATATGTAATCCTAATCTGTTAAATCTGGAGTATTTCATTTACTGTACTCTTTAAACTGTATATATTGTGAGTGTGGAAGGCAGTTTAGACTGAGGAAACCGCTGCAGTAAAATATCAGATTTGTTTGCTACAAGTGTCACAGGCTAAACTCTGTTTTAGTTTAGATCGAAAAATAGGGAATATGATGATTTATATTTAAAACTTCGGTGCAGTAAAGCAACTTCGTCTTTCACTTCCGCTGGGTATTCAGATTGTTATTATTGTCATAATAACCCCAGGGTGAGGTGCAGTGCGCCCTGTCAGACCAATAGGCGGCGTTTTGTCCCCATTTGCTTCCCTTTCCACTGCGTCTTCAGACTTCACTTCAAAGCATTAGATTTCCAAATTCATAAATAAATCAGCAGTAGAGGGAGAAAAAAGAAGGGAAAAAAACTGCAGATCCCTCTCCTACCAACACAGACAGAAACGACTGGAGGAGCGTCGCATGCAGACGACTGAACCAACGATAGAAATCCCTGAAAGACGTAATAATATTGCTGCATCGGTGCAAAAACTGAAAAAAGCAGCACGAGAAAACATCCCACGAGGCCACTTTAAAACGAACTTTCAGTGCCACGCTGCACGAGGTGACAAATTAAGATCAAAGAAATATTATCCAAGCTTCAAACCCATCAAGTTATGCCTTGAAACTCAACACTGACTTACAGAATCTTAGAAATACTGCATTACATCGATGGGAGCAAAATAAAAAAAATAAAAAAAGGCTATAATAAGTATATTATCATATAATCATATCTCAAAACTGATGACTATAGCTATCATAAAGCTCCATCTGTTAGCGAGAAGTGACACGATGAATAAATAACTAACTTTAAATTAATTTTGTTTATATTTTTCTATGATCGATACAAATACAAAAAATACACAGTGAACCATTTACTATCACGAAGATCGAGATACCAAACTGTAAATTTATCGGCATGCTCAACAATTAAAGTCGGGTGACTTATTTGCTCATGTTTGTGGGAGGTGGAGGGTTGTTTTTAGATATGATGTCTAACCAGTAACCCACAAGGCTAAAAGATCGCTCTCTCGGATTTAAAAATATTAATAATGACTGAATTCTATATGTTTCCTGTCTACGATAGCCGATAAAGGAACCACTAACGCCCATATAAAGTGAGAAATATGTGCCCAGTAGGGGAATATTGTGCTACTTGCATCAAGCAGCCTACAAGTCAGAGCAATCAAAATGTGATCGATGGCAACGGACTTGCGACGACAAAGTAGCCCCGGGCGGTCTGGGTTCTTCAAGTTTGCAGAATGCGCAGAAGAGTGAACAAAAAGTCAAGCAATGAAGATTAATGAAATAAATACACATTTCATTTTTTTTACCTTTTTGCAGCAGCCTTCTCTTCAATATAGCCTGAAGAAAAAGCATTTTTCCCCACACCGGTTCCAGACTGGATGGGTAATTCTCTCCTCATGGAAGAGCAGAGGAGGAAGAGGAAGAGGGAGGCAGAACTTCAGTCTGCATGCACTCCCTCCTGCTCGCTCTCTTTTTCTTATCCTCCCCCTCTATCTCAAAGGGACCCCCCTCCCTGTTGACACCAGCTGAACTGTAGGCAGTGCGCGTGTTTTTAAATACTCCGCAGAAGAGAGGGGGGAAATTAAGAAGCCCTATCAATAATCGACTTTAATCAGGAGTGTTCTCACTCTGGTGCTTCTACCCTGGTTCTGTTCTGATAGAGCTCATCCGTGTTTTCCCATGTTCTCCTCCTCGTTTTCTTTATGCACTAATTTAATTACAGCATTCTCTCTATCTTCTTCTCTCCCTCTTTCAGTTTCTTTCCTGATTATGCAAAAAAATCGTAGCTCAAAGCCTTCGGGACTTTTGATGTCCTAGTTTTTTTCTTCTTCTTCTTCTTCTTCTTCTTCTTCTTATTTTTTCCACCCAAAGTGTGTGTCTAGTGGACTTGCATGTATAGCGAGTTTCTCTCTCTCTCTCTCTCTCTGTGTGTGTGTGTGTGTGTGTGTGTGTGTGTGTGTGTGTGTGTGTGTGTGCGCAAGAGAGAGGTGCCATGAAATGTGCGGCCAAAAGATGAAAGCTTCTGCCACTGGAACCCACCACATCATGACTTATTTCTCGGCTCCCCTGTCGTCGGTGATCACAAGTTGGCCAGTGTCGCCTGAAGTGAAATGAAACCGAGGAACACTCTGTCCCTCCATACACAAATCTGCCCTATGTGTCCTTCTATATCATCCTGTTCAGCTTTTCACTTAGAGCAGAACAACATCCTGCGTGGAAACAGTACAGCAGGACCGCAGACAAGTTTTGTGTACACTTGCTGTCAAAATCACACCTGAAAGTGCAAATTTGAGTATTGTGAACAGGTTGTTTAGATGGGGATGAATATATTTTCGAAATCGAGTTACAAATCTGAATTGGAACAATATTCAGTGAATGAAAAAATAAATGCTTGATTGTAAATTTGTAGCTTCATTGTGAAGATATTTTATCCACCTTTATATCCCGTGTATAGAAGCTGCAACACCTCTTTTACATAATCTTGAGGGTGTAACAGGTTTAGAGACCTGCAGACATTTGAATACTTCGTCACTATCCTGAATGTGAGAATCAGCAATTTATCTTACCCTCTGTGTCCATATGTTTTAAAACATATAGTGTATTGTCCCAAATACTTATATTTCACACAGCAGTGGAGTTTTCAAGATAACTTGCAATAAGGAGATTACGGTTTGGGTGGTATTCATCTAATGTGCACTGTATCCCCTTATGTATAAACAGAAAAAATAGCATACATGTATATTTTATGGTTTTAGACTCACACCTGCAGAGCAAACAACAGAACCTGCAACAACTCGCACAGCTGCGTTCAATCTCTGAGCCAGTCTTTCTGTGAGGCACAAGTTGATCTAGCTTTGACACACAAAGTGACAGTTAAGACTAGGGGTGTCAAATTATCGCGTTAATTGCGATTAATTAATTACAATGCTATTTAGCGCGTTATGTTTTTTAATCTCGTTAATCTAATTTTTAATCTCTTGACGTCATTGATTTTGTATGAGAGTTGCTATGTTATAAAATCCGTTTTTATGTGCTGGGCTCCTTGTGCTTGACTTGTTGGGGGTGGAGTCACGTCGTGAGGTCAAGGTGAGAAGTGGTGATTATCTTACAGTGTGGATATGGAGGCGCATCTGAGAGTTGTTGGCCCAATGAACGGGAAATTTGTATTTCATAAACGCCCCGACGGCACCATTGACAAAGGTAAAGTGGTCTGCCTAGAGTGTAAGAAGGAGTTTGCTTACCACCGAAGCAGCTCAAGTTTGGCCTATCACCTCAACGCAAAGCACCCAGCCGCGAGTGCAGCAACAGCTAGCAGTGAAGACGTTAGCAATATAGCAAGCCAGAGCAAAGCTTTTCGCCAAACAAAACTAGAGAATACCCCTCGTATGAGCAAGTCTGCGACCGACAGGCTGACTAATGTTATTGCCAAGTGGATAGCGATGAACTGTAGGCCGATAAATATAGTAGAGGACGAAGGATTGACAGAGGTGTTGCAAATTGCGTCCAATGACCCGTCATACAAGCCGCCGTGCAGGACTACAGTAACGACCAAAATCAGCAAAATGTACGACGGCGAAAAGAAAAACAAACTTGAGATTTTGGCGGAGGATTCTCCCAACTGTGTTGCTATAACCGGAGATCACTGGACCTCAGCTGGCAACCACAGCTATTTTGGGGTGACTGGACACTTTATTGATAGTGAGTGGAACCTCAACTCATTTGCACTGACCGTCATGAGAACAGAAACCAGGCACTTTGCTGATAAATGCGCCGAACAGTTCCTCAAGGTAGCAAATGACTGGGGTATTGAAAACAAGATATCCACCATTGGCACAGACAGCGCAGCAAACATGCTGGCTGCTATGAGAGCACTTCCATATGAGCACATCGCCTGCAATGCTCACATTCTCCAGAGGACCATCACGGTATGTCTCGATAGCAGTGGTTTTGTCGGTGTACTGGCAAAGTGCCGCAAGATTGTTGGTCATTTTAAACAAAGCCCTGCAAGTACCACAGAACTTAACCAACAACAAGTAGCACTCGGAAAGAAGAGCGATCAACTTATACAGGATGTACCCACCAGGTGGAACTCGACTCTCGCAATGGTCTCACGCCTCCTATGTAACCGAGAGGCTGTCCAGGCTACGTTGGACCAACAGAACCACAGGTTGGTCTTGCCAACCGAAGCTGAGTGGGCGAAACTGCAGAGGCTGGAGCTCCTGCTTGAACCATGCAAGTAAGTTCAAATAAACACCTTCCCATTTTAATTATATAAACTACTGTTACATGTGTAAAATCAAAATTAATGAACATAACAAGGAACTTTTAAGGACAATTAAATTGGAAATCAGTTACACTTTGATTTAAATGAATCCAGCTAGGTTTATTTAGCAAACCTCTCCACCTCTGCAGGTATGTGACAGAGCTGCTGGGTGGTGAGGCCTACGTCTCTTGCTCTGTAGTGCTGCCTGCTTTTCGCCATCTGTACCGTGTCATGGACATTACTGATGATGATCCTGCCTACGTGGTGAAGTTCAAGAATGCCTTCCAGAAGGATCTGGCAGCACGACGAGCTAATGGCAACGAGATATGGTTCGAGGTGGCCACAGCATTGGATCCACGGTTTAAGGATTTGAAATGTCTTCCAAGAGAAAAGAGGGAACAGGTAGGACAATAAGGTTAAGCTGGACTAATGAGTCCAATTCATTATCAAATCAAACTTTTATTTATTATATGGAACACAAAGTTCTTTACAAAATAAAAAAAAAAGCACTTAGTTTTAATCACAATCAATCATTCATTCATTCAGGTGTGGACCATTCTGGAGAATATGCTCCAGGCAGCAGAGCCCAGAAGAGCAGATAGTCTCCAGCCCTCCACAGAGGATGATGGACCAGCTCAGAAGAAGAGGAGGAGCGAACTCCTTCTGGGGTCTGACTCTGACTCAGAAGATGGAATTGAGTCTGGAGAGCTGCAGCGCTACAGAGCAGAACCCAGCATCAGTATTGATGACTGTCCCCTGCAGTGGTGGTATGCTCACTCAGGAGTCTATGAAAAGCTGTCAGTCCTAGCACAAAAGTACCTGGCCTCCCCAGCTACCTCTGTACCCTGTGAGAGACTCTTTAGCCTTGCAGGCCACATAGTGCAAAAGAAAAGGGCAGCCTTGCTTCCAGAAAATGTTACCAGGCTGGTGTGTCTTAGCGACTGGCTGAGGAAGAAGAAATGAGACACATGTGGTCAGCATAGCTGCTGTGTCATTTGTAGCCTACTAGAATAGATTGCTTGATGTTCAGCACTTTTTTTTGTGATGGAAGAATACTTTGATGTGCTAACTTGCAGCACTGCAATGTCAGTTTTATTTTTCATTATCTGAAGCAGAGGAATTTCAGTGCTGTATTGCTCAGAAAAGAGCAACTCTGATGTGCTAACTTGCAGCACTTAATTTATTAGATTTTATTTGTATTTATTTTTCCACTTATTTTACAAAAGAATACAACAGTATGTAAATGGTTGCATCTGTTTAACGTTTGTTAAACAATAAATGACTTTATAAAGTCACTTTCTTTGTTATATCAGTCTTTTGGTCTGCCACAATAAGTTGAGGGCTTTCCTCAGCTATTTTTAGGTGAGATTAAAAAAGAGATTAATTAGATCAATTAATTAAAAATCATAATTAATTAATCTCTATTTTTTTTTTTTATCTCTTGACAGCACTAGTTAAGACATGGGCTGACAAACAGTTTGTGCATCTAGTTTACACCAATCTGCTGTTTCTGCGAGCAAACCACAGAGAAGTGTATTAATATGCGAAATGAGACACTGTGCCACCAAAAAATGTTAGCAGCTTGGAAAAGTCTGGGATTTGAGAACAAAGAAACAAAGTCAGCTGAATAGATTAGACATACGCTTAAAACTTGGTACTGTTTGTCTACAGTCAGAATGTGACATCAGCTGTTTTTTCACTTTGGTGTCACAAAGGGCTGAAACCTTTATATTCTAAGACATACTGTACATTTAGCAGAATGCAATAAGACAATAAGTCCTCACACACACTAGACCTACTGTGTCTCTTTTTAAATTTTTTTACTCAAGACTTAAAAAGTCTTGAGTCCACAAGTGCTTACAGCGGTGAACCTGGACAATCAGTAAGTACTGTATAGCTCTGTTGTAATTTCTGTGTACAATTCTGTCATTGAGCTCACAATAACGCACATTTATTAAATGCAGTTAAGCAGAACTCTAGAAAAAAAGAAAATCCTCCAAGCAGGTAAATAACAAAAATCTACTGTTCCACCACAATGCTGCCAAACAGGACATTGATTAAACAAGCAAATATTAAGCAAGTCAAATGAAAGCGCATAAATAAAACTATAGTCGACAGGCTTCTGACTCTCATAGATGGAGGCACAGTCACACTTGTCCAAAAACTGTCACAAAGAAAAGTTTTACAAGTTTCCGTCTTAGGAAGGAATCCTTTCATCTTTTCATACACAGCAAAAACTCCAGTGTTAAATTAACACTGGAGAGTGTCTATATGGGTCCACACCTCTGAGTGTTAAATACAACACTGTTGAGTGTTAAATTAACACTTTTGACAGTGTTATATGTTTAAAAGTAACCTAGTCAGTTTTGAAGATTAACAAAGACTAACACTGAGCAGTGCTGATTTTCTAACACTGGAATAGTTCTAACATTTTGAGTTATTTTCCAGTGTTAGAAAATCAGCACTGCTCAGTGTTAGTCTTTGTTAATCTTCAAAACTGACTAGGTTACTTTTAAACATATAACATTTGTGGAAAATTCTTTCTTCGTGCCACAGAAACAATGAAGAGCAGATACAGAAAATGCCATAATATCAAAATGGCACAGGCAGAAGTGAGAGCGTGGAGGCTGGTAAGCAACACGGTTCTTAGAAGAGACCCCGGTCAGTAGTTGATTGAAATAACATTTAAACTGCTACCAAACACATGAATAAGGGCATCTTAACATTACAGTAAGTTTTACCAAAACCATTATATGCTTCACATAGTTGCAGTGATGTTGCATTAGGTTACATTAGACTGCCGGCATAACAACAGACATTAATGTTGCTGTGTCCATCCCCTGCAGACTGAGAATATTTTTGGCAGATTGACTAAATGGGAGACTTTTAAAAATCATCACTTATCCTGTATGATGCAATAATTTCATTTAGTCTTCAGTGTATAGATAGCTCTTGTTTTTTTTTCCATTTCAGTTCTTTTTTTTTTTTTTTTAACTTGCAGTGACACAGTACCCAAGAAAGGAGTCAGAAAAGGTTTTGCTGTCTGAGGGGGAAAGTCTTTTCATCTTTTCCTTGGTTAACAGTGAATCATCTGACATGAGAGGTCCTTCGAGATACAAAGAAAAGATGTAAAAGTCTCCTGGTGCTTGCACTTGCTGTACTTTTTTTATATATATATCTCTCATCCACAAGCGCAGTGCATGACCTACAACTTCATACTAAAAACTGTCAGTTTTTACAGAAACCCAGCATATTTTAGCAATGGTTTAACCCAAAATTTGGCCAGAAGAACTGTGATCTTAACTCACTTTATAAGGCATGTACTGCCAAGTGAGTATCTTTAATGGCTTAAAGAGGTATGGTGAACATACAGCCAGTTTTCAGTGTCAAAAGGTGGCTCTCTTTTTACCTGGTTAGCTCACAATAGGAATTTATGCTTAACACATAATGTGGTCTGGATCAAGTTACATTAAGTCTTTTGGATTAATATTAATATAATTTATCTTCTGAAGGAATAGGTTTTATACATGCAGCCTGCAGAGACACACTGCATCTGACTAATACCAACCAAGAAAGCTATACAGTAAAGTTATATTCACAGAAATATGTAAGCAATCAGTTGGTTATGTAGGAAACGGAATTTTACTTTTATCTGGACATAAGCTAAACTGATCATTAGGCTTTGGTTGTGTTTTAATGTATCAGTTTTAACGTTTGAGGGTACTAATATACAGCTGTCTCCAGTACTGAGGTATAAACTAAATATATTTACTTGTGAAGTAAAATGTTCTCCTAGCATTGCTGTCTTGCCTTATTTACAGCACAAAAAATACAATTTGCCAAACATTTTTATTGCCAATTTTTTCACCATTTCTTTAATAGTGCCTACTGCGTACTTCACTTTCTGACTAACATAGACAGCAATAAAGTTCACTCACACACACCTATTATTTCTATCTGGGGTTTTTCAGTTTTGTTAAGCTGTTTTAACTTGTGTTCCCCATAAAGGTTGTGCAGACCACATGAACTTATGCTAAAACCTGGGCACTTCTCTTACTTGTCATATTAAGGAAATACTGATGAGCAGAGAAACACATGCACATACAAAACACAACAATACAAATTACACATATTGCTATTAATTAAAAAAAACTGTCATATTTTATTTTTTCACTCCCCTCCTGGGCTCTCTTTTTGCATTCAGACATCACTGTTCAGTCAGATTACTCACATTTGAAATGATTGATTACAATAGAATATATTTAGAACCTGGCATCTAGTTTCTGAGCTCATCCTTCCGCACATATATGTTACATATAGAAGTTGGGGAATAATGGGTAAAGATTCCTCCCTGGAGCCTAGAGATGGAGTGGTGGAAATGGTGGAGGAATGGAAACAACAGGAAGTGATGCAACAGCAGTGACACTGACATGCCAGAGGGAGAGATGGGAAACTTTGCAGCATAAATAGACCATCAAATTGTTAGGGCACGTTTGATACAAGGAGAAATGCATATTACACATGTAGGATGGACGGGGTTACATGAAAGTAGCTAGTTCACAGGACTGACTGTATTTGTGAAGTAGTATAGCACAAAATCAAAATCAATAACGCTGGCCAAGTATGTGCATGTTAATCTGCTCATTCATCCTTGTCAAAACATTTAGTCTACAGCACCCACAATGCAACTCAAAGCTTGAAAAATTTAAGATTTTGCTGTGTATTATTTTTAGCATTCAAACATATTTTAGTAGAATAAACTCAAGGTGACATAACTTTATCAGCTCCCCTTAGACGTATGGAAAAGGAAGACAGGAAGCATGAGGTAGCGTAGGTTAGCATGTTTCTGTAACAACTATATCAAAATGTGTAATTTACTCTTTTGGATTAATTTCCCACATCTTTGGATGGTTGAAACACAAACACATGCACACACCTTCTGTCTTTCCCAATTGTAATCAGCCTTTAGACTGGAGCAGACTAAGAGGCCAGCTAAACTATCATACCACTGACCCAATTTTCTGATACAAGGCTCTAATCAGTTTGATATGGCTAAAACATTAGATCCAAGATGATATATAAAACAAGTGCTCCTCATGTTTATTTCATCCAGTCGAACACTTTTGTCTTTCCTCAAGGTTTTTCACACCAAGACAAAGTGAATAAGCCTTAGGTAAATGCAAACATTTGTATAGAAACACAGGCTGCTGTGACACTTGGTCTAAAATTGTTTCCTATAGTTCACTTTTTACAGTACATGCATTTGATGTTACAGAAAATATGCACTAAAAATTGATGCAAAAGGACAAAAGATGTGAGACGTGTGGCTTTTTAGCTGTTGTATGTTCTACAGTAGCTTGCATCAGCCAGTCTATAAAGTCTTCCGTTTCTGCTTTTTGGGGTCACTCAGGCTTTGATATAATATATAATTCTTGCTGAGGATGAAAGTTATGCATGTCTTTCTTATGTGAGCAGGAACTGAATCAGATAAAGTTACAGCTGTAAACCAATGGCATATAAGTTATTAACCTTTAGTCTGCATGAACCAATGCTCTTAGATTTACAAATTCTGCAATTTGGCCGTAGTGACACTTGGATTTATCCTCTTCACCTAATGGATTCTTAACCTTTACAGGATTGCATAAAGACTTTGGTCTTCATGGTGTCAGTGAACTTCGTGTTGGCTGCCTTTACCTTTGATGGTGAACAAGTGCTGAACTCTTACTGTTAACTGAACTGTTACTGTTTTTGTACCCATTGAATCACACAGGACCATGAGTCATAACATGATTCAGAATACGTGAGCAGCTGATGTGGAGGCAGTATTTTCTTTTCTTTTACACTTGCAAAGGTGCAAAGTTAACCTATTAGAACATCCTCTGGACTTTCAGTGTCTGTAGTATTTCTGCACAATGTAATCCAGTATTTCTTCATATGGTTTTATATCACCTCTCATGCCCCGTCATTTTTTCCCCATCAACCTTAGAGGTTTTCATAGCATGATGAATTCAAACTGAATCTAGCCACAGAACAGCTTCTTTTCCTCCAGCTTGAGCTAGATTGATTAACTCTGTCCCACCTGGTATGTCGGGTTGATTAAATCGAATGGCAGCTTCTATTGGAGATAGCAGTTGACAGGAGCAAAGTGTTTAACACACACACACAGACACACACACACACACACACACACACACACACACACACACACACACACACACACACACACACACACAAAGAGTTAAGGTAAATAGAACTAACTTATACTGACAGGTCCCAGCTACTGACAACTTCCTGTACAACCACTCAGTCTGGCAGGAGTTTAATTTTATTCGACAATCAAGAACCCCTGGTGTAATCTAACAGGACAAGTGGGACTAAAGTCATAATCTAATTGGGCAGCTTCTCCTGATAGGC